CCCCCCCCCCCAGTGGGTCTTGCCCGGGGTGGTTTTCCAGATTTCACGATTAAGGGAGAATGGAGTGTAACGCAGGGTTTGGACACACCAGTGACAAGCTCAGGGAGGACGGCCACGTGTCTCCCAGCTCCGCGAGGAGACCCTCTGAGCGGTGGGGTTCTGAGCCAGGGGTTCAGCTAGGCTCCCCTTCCCTTCCCTGGGTCCTCCTCCCAGCAAGGAACCCAGGCTGATCCGAGCTGAGACTTTTCCTCCTGGGAAGGTCCTGGATGGGTCTGGACAGGTTCAGAGGAGGGCCCAGAGGCAGGAGAAAGGAAATGGAGCCTCGCCTTTCTAGGATTCCCAGAGCCGCCTTTTTGAGGAGTTGGCCGGGCTCCGCCCTCAGCCCCTTCAAGTCTGAACTCCCAGAATAATTAACCACTCGCGGCAGGGTCCTGGCCTCTGCCAGAGCCCATCCTACCCACCGGCTGTGTTCCCGGCAGGAACTTGCCGCCCTGGATAACAAGGATGATGAAATTTTCGTCCGCTTGGCAAATATTTGCCGGAACACCCCTCCTGTGTCAGGGACAGTCAGAAGTTTCCCAGCCTCGTCTAACCGGCTGCACTGGGGCGTGTTCACTCCTTGGATCGTTGACACGAGGGATCAGGGCCCGAAGCCCCCACCCCGCACACGGCAGACTGAATAATGAATCCGTCCCGGGGGCCGTGGAAGCAGGGCTGCACGTGGCCCCTGAGAGGTCTGCCTTCCAGATCCTTCAGGCCGGGGCGGGGCTCAAGTCGCCCAGGCTGAGAAATGAGAGCAAATTCTAGATGTGATGTCAGGTAAGGTAAAGTTCAAAACAATATCAGGTGTCACTCCCGCTGGAATCACCCAGCTACACGAGCACAATAGAGGTTTATTCTTAACTCGTGGGGAATGAGTCATTCAGGAAGAGATGAGATTTTTAGGTTACCGAAGCTTTACCATTTTAAGCACTGAAAGGTCTAACATATTTACCTGTTGGAGGGGGAGCATGCTGTACCGGGGGCATCTGAGCACTCAGCGGCTACTGATACCTTCTGGGGGCGCTTTGCCCCTAAACTAAATGGCCCCAACTGCCGTGTGACTCTCCAGGTCCTTGCAAGTCTGGATTATTCTTGCTGACTGTCCTTCCCGGTTACTGGCATGTTCTCCAGAGTCTCTGCCTGCTTCTAGGTGGGCCCACGCTCTCTGGGTAACAGATAAGCCATTTTGGTGGCTTAACCCACTTTGCTCAACCAGTCGCTCTCAAATCTGGGCCCCCAGCAGCTCGCTGGGCTCGGATCCCTATTTATTTCAGACCCCCGTGTCCGCTGCCTGCTGGTACCCTAACCCTGCTCCCCTGTCCATGTTCCCTGTCTCAGGACGCGAGGCCACCACCCCAGACCTGGCAGTGAGTCTCCAGATTCTACCTCCGTGGGTCTAACCCAGTACCTGCCCCGCAGGATCAGATTTATACAAAGAGCTGGGAACAAAGCCCAGCCCAGGAAGCACCACATAGATGCGTTATTACTGTAACTGACACGCTGTGCTGTCCCTCACTCCTGCCTCCCTGTGACAGCCTATACACCCTCGACGGTGCCTATCTTATGGGCCAGGGTATCAGCGAGGCTTCCCGGGGCTGGTGCGTGGGGATTTATTCCCCCACCGAGGCTGGCTGTGTCTGCTCTTTCCTCTTCCCCTGCCAGCTTCTGCTTCCTGGCACAGACTTTCCCCATTTCTGAACCGTGAAAGGCTTGAAACGCAGTTACAAGCCCGTGAAGAGAACAAATCAAGTAGAGTTCGGTACCAGACCCATGACGGCTCTTCCGACAGCCCGCGGCTACAAACGCGGCGCCTGTGGCTTCACAGGATCCTGGGAGAGGTGAGGTGCGGAATGTGATGGGCAGGGACAGACAGAAACAGCTAGAGACCGCAGTGGGCCAGGCAAGAACTTCCGGCCACCAGGAGCTGCTCTGGGCACCCGCTGGGAGCAGAGCTGGAGACGTCCCCTGGGGAGGTATGTGACCTCTGGCTTGCCCACCCTCACTCCCCGCTGGCTCCTCGCTCCCCTGGCCCTGAGCAACTTCTCAGGTGCCTGGTTGCCCTTCATGGGCCTGGTACTCATGTCCGGCCTCCGCCATCTTGATTCGGCCCTTGGCCTGACTCGCTGTGGGGTCTGCTCTGGCAGCTCCCATCTGACAAGAGAATGCCACTAAGAAATGCAGAAGAGGGGCGCCTGGGTGGTTCAGCTGGTTGAGCGTCCGACTTCAGGTCGGGTCACGATCCCGCGCTTCGTGGGTTCGAGCCCCGCGTCGGGCTCTGTGCGGACCGCTCAGAGCCTGAGGCCTGCTTCGGATTCTGTGTGTGTCTCTCTCTCTCTCTCTCTGCCCCTCCCCTGCTTGTACTCTGTCTCTCTCTCTCTCAAGAATAAATAAAACATCAAAAAAATTTTTTGAGAATATAGAGGAAATGAC